AAATTATTTAAATACAAAATTTAACAAAAAATAAAAAATAAAAATACTATATTATAATTAAGAAGAATAAAAATATATTACTTTATTTCATTCAAATAAAAAAAATTAAAAAGTATTAAAAAATACCATTAAAATATAAAAACAAAATAAATTTTAATAATATTATTAAAATTAAAGAAAAAAAGAAGAAAAAAAAGAGAGAGATATGAGATGGAAAGAGAGAAGGGAGGGGTAGAGGGTGGGGCAAGGGAGAGAGGAGGAGTGAGAGACAAAGATAGGAATGGAAGAAAAGAGAAGAGGAGTGAGAAAGATAAATATAATGAGAGATGTTTTTTTTGTTTTAAAAAGGGAATATTGTGATATTTTTTGTTTTAAAAAGGGAATATTGTAATATTTTTATGTACATAAAAATTTTCTCCTCAAAAAAATTCTTATGGGAATATTTTTTGTGGAAAAGTGAAATAAAAATGGTTATTAGAAAATTTCATTCCTAAAAATATTTTTTTAAAATAACTACTAAACATGGAAAACTAAGGTTCCCATTTTAAGATTTTTAGAAATGTAAAAACATTTTACATATCAAACACTTCTTAAGAATAAGATTACTTAGATTTATTTAACCTAATAATTCATATTTTATATCAAATTTTAATGATCAAATTGTTAAATCATAAGTTTTTAATGTATAAATCAACTTTATAAATTTTTAAAAATTAAAAATTATTTGACACTCTATTTCATTAAATTAAATTAACAAATAATCATAAAAATATATTTATATGTTGATTTAAATTAATGAAACAAAATATTAAATTATTTTTATTTTATTTTTTATTTATAAGCTTAATTTATATATTATGAACTTTTAATTTAATGATAGGATTGTTTAAATTTGACATATATACTAACAAACTCATAATTTTAAATTTTTTAAAAAACAATTAGGGATAATGGTTCAACTAAAAATAAAAACTAAAATTGATTATAAAAAAGACGTTCTCTTTATTTGTATATATATATATATATATATATTAAATAATATTAAATAACAAACTTTTATATACCAAGCATGTACCGTTATATTGTAGAATATTTTTAGTATGATGTCAAAATCATTCACTTTATATATTTTTATAAATAATGTTAAATAACGAACTTCTATATACTAAACACATGTCGTTATACTGCCTGGTATGTTTGGATGAGGAATTTATATAGGGTAATTCATTTATTTGAAGAATTTCAAATTCCTTGAGGTGAAATGTTTTGTTTGGATGAGGAATTTACAAAAAATTTGAAATTCAAGCATTTGTGAAATTCCTTAAAATAGTAAAATTTCAAATTCTCCCAAAAATTTAACAATTTGAAATTCCTCATATTTGTTTTTCTTATTTCACCTATATATTTTATCTTATCTCTTCATTCTTTTAATTATTGAATATTCAAAAATATTTTTAAAATTATTAAATATTATCTAATATTAATTTTTAAAATTATTAAATATTTAAAAATTAGCTAATATTTATTTTTATGAAATTTAATTTAAAAATCTCAACATATAAATATATTTTTAAAATTAATTTTACCATGGTAGAACCAAATTATTATATCCATCTTAACAATTTAAAATTTAAAAATTTGAATTGATTTATCCAAACAAAATATTTTAAGAATGATAGAAATTGAAATCAAAGTAATTCAAATACTAAGAATTTAAAATTCCTTGAATTTGTAAAATCCTTCATCCAAACACACCTAAGAGTGTTTTTAGGATGAGGGTTTTCAAAGATTTTTTTTAGTTTATTTTTATTTAATTTAATTTTTAATATCTTTCTTGAGAGGACAATTTGTAATATCTTAAAATAAATTATTAATAAATAAAATAATTTTGTACTATAATGTAAATTATTTATTATATATCTAAAATATAATTTATATTTTTTAAAATTTATTTATATAAATTTTAAATATAATTTATATATTTAAATAAACATTTATTTGTATATACTTACTCTGAACTTATATAAAAACAAAAAAAATATCAAAATTTTCATTTAAATGTAAGTAAATTCCAACTAATCTAACCCTATTTAATGTTATTATTTTAAAAATATCACTTAAATTAAATATGATTACTATTTTTAATTAATATTATTATGTGTAGTTTAGGGAGTAAAATTTATTTATTTTTATATAAAATCAATAAATTTAAGTAAACTTAACTATTTTTTTTTAATATTTTTGAATTTAGATACTTTTACAGTTTACTTAGATATAAGTTTAAAAAAAATATAGCTTATTATAAATTTTAATCATATATAATAAATATTTAAACTAAGAAATTCACAAATTAAAATACTACTTGTGAACTTTATATATATATATAAGAAACAATTTTTATATAGACTAAGAAAATTAATTAAATACATTTAATTTTCACAATTTAATATAAAACATACATTATATTTTTAAAAATATCTTTAACTATACTTATAATAAGTAATATTTTATTTATTATCTAAGAGATATTTTTAATTAAAAAGATTATATAAATTTGACTTAATTAAAATTGATTTATATTTTAGTTAAAATAAATAAATTATTTTACTTATATATAAGTAAAAAGGAGTAAGGAGTTTCTAATTTTCTTAATTATTAATAGACAAGTTAGTTTAATTTAGTTACGGTATTAAGAAGGGAGTATGAATATAGATTTTGGAACAGTAATTATCCCATTTTTGTTATACATTTTCCAAGAATATTTTAGTAAATGGTATACCGTATACGAAGAGAAATCCTGGGAGAACCCAGATGGCAGATAGACAGTAAGAGAGTAAGAGAGAGTGGGTAATGGTGGTGGCGCGGCAACTTGCGTTTGAAAATGTTGGGAACAAGTTATACCACACAGCAGAATCCTTAGTATCTCTGGCCAAACAATGTCCTTCCAGAAAAACACTGGAACAGGTCCACACCCAAATGGTGGTTCGCTCCATCCACAAGCCCAACCACCTTCTCTCTCAAATCATCCACTTCGCCGATTACCGCTACGCCTCGCTTCTCTTCTCCCACATTCTCCCTCACCCCAACGACTACGCCTTCAACATCATGATCCGCGCCCTCACCACCACCTGGCGCCGCCACCCCCTCGCCCTCGCCCTCTTCCGCCGCATGCACTCCCTCGGCCTCGCCCCCAACAACTTCGCCTTCCCCTTCTTCTTCCTCTCCTGCGCCGCCCTCGCCCTCCTCCGCCACGCCCGCGCCGGCCACGCCTCCGTTCTCAGGCTCGGCCTCTCCTCCGACCGCCACACCGCCCACTCCCTCATCACCGCGTACTCGCGCTGCGCCCGCACCGGCTGCGCGCGCAAGGTGTTCGATGAAATTGTTCAGAGGGACTCGGTGTCTTGGAACGCCATGATTGCTGGCTACGCGAAGGCGGGGTGCGCGAGGGAGGCGGTGGAGGTGTTTGGGGAGATGAGGAGGGGCGGGTTCGAGGCGGATGAGATGGGGCTGGTGAGTGTGCTCGGGGCTTGTGGGGAGTTGGGGGATTTGGAGCTGGGAAGGTGGGTGGAGGGGTTTGTTGTGGAACGTCGCATGGTGATTAACTCCTATGTTGGTTCTGCTTTGATTAGTATGTATGCCAAGTGTGGGGATTTGGGGTCCGCTAGAAGGATCTTCGATAGCATGGGTACTAGGGATGTTATCACGTGGAATGCTGTTATATCAGGGTGAGTGAGTAATATGTCGTACAAACTAACTCTTGTTACAAATCAAGAGTCTGCTTGGATAAACTTATCCATAATACCTTTAGTAGAAAAAAAATAAAATAAGTTTTTTCATAAGCTAAAATTAGCTCATGCATAAATTAAAGATAAGTTTTTTGAAAAATTAATAAGAGAGAGCTTCTACAAATTAGTATATGTATAAGGATTGTTTTTAGAAGTATTATTAGAGAAATTTATCCAAACAAATTCTAAGTGTTTCTATTTTATGCCTTGTATGGGAATATCATTATATGTATGGATGTGCTTGTTGGGTTTTGGGCAGCGGTGTGCTCAGCTAAAATCATGTTGAAAGCAACATAGAGTTGTTTCCATTTTTTCATGGTGGCATCGTGATTTGGCTGGAGCAGTCGATTTTGAATGTTATCCTAATACACTAATGCAGTGGTAGTGTCGGGTTTGATAGTAGGTTAGAGTATGCTTTGTTTGTTTATGTCAAAGAAGTGCAGAAGGCCAGAGGCTTCAAAATAGTATTTGTGCAATGTCAAATACTTCATGGGGACATGGACAATTTGAATACTCCTAGTTGCATTCTACTTTTATTATTATTATTATATTTATTTTAAGTTTAATGCCAAAATTTACGTAAATAATACAATAACTAGATAAACTCTATCCATGTCCATGTTATGCTGATTCCATGTCACGTGTCATACCCGTAGTGTCTAGGTTCATGTAATCATGTTCCAAACACTTTTGCAATTATGATCTTGGTTTTTCTACAAACTCAATTTATTTTATTTTTTAATTTTTCCTGTGAAATGACAGATATGCTCAGAATGGAATGGCGGATGAAGCGATTGCTTTATTCCATGCCATGAGGGAGGACTGTGTTACTGCAAATAAAGTTACCTTGACTGCAGTGCTCTCTGCGTGTGCCACCATTGGCGCTTTGGATTTGGGGAAACAGATTGATGAATATGCAACACAGAAAGGATTTCAACATGATATTTTTGTGGCCACTGCATTGATTGATATGTATGCTAAGTGCGGGAGTTTGGACAGTGCACGGAGAGTTTTCAAGGAAATGCCCCAAAAAAATGAGGCCACTTGGAATGCAATGATCTCTGCACTTGCTTCTCATGGAAAAGCCCAGGAGGCACTATCACTATTTCAGTGCATGTCAAACGAGGGTGGAGGTGCCCGCCCTAATGATATAACATTTGTTGGGTTGCTTTCTGCGTGTGTCCATGCAGGCCTGGTTGCTGAGGGCTATAGATTGTTTGATATGATGAGCACATTGTTCGGATTGGTACCAAAAATTGAGCACTACTCTTGTATGGTTGATCTTTTGGCACGTGCTGGTCATTTATACGAGGCATGGGATCTAATAGAGAAAATGCCCGAAAAACCAGACAAGGTTACATTAGGTGCTTTGCTTGGTGCCTGTCGAAGGAAAAAAAATGTTGATATAGGTGAACGGGTTATGCAGCTTATTCTGGAGGTGGATCCTTCAAATTCTGGGAACTATATTATCTCATCAAAAATATATGCAAATCTGAACATGTGGGATGATTCGGCAAGGATGAGATTGTTAATGAGACAGAAGGGTATTACTAAAACTCCTGGTTGTAGCTGGATTGAAATTGAGAATCACTTGCATGAGTTTCACGCTGGTGATGGCTTATGCCTTAACTCTACAGATATAAGTAATATAATTGATTTGCTCTATGAGGAACTCAAAAAGGAGGGGTATGTCCCAAAAGTCGTTGAATAGCCTTGTGAGTTGTGCGGAGCTAAAAATTGTTTTATTGGAAGTCACCAAAGTGAGGAAAATTGGATCAATTGACACTCAGCTATCTCAGCACAATTATTCATGTTTATTGGATTGGTTCATCGGGTAAGGGTGATCTGACGGTAGAGATTAATGCATAGTGGGAGCCTTATTTGTTTTTCCGCTGATTTATGTATTGTTTTGTACACGAAGCTCAGATATAGATTATTTAAGGAGAATGAGCCTCTGGCGTTTACATCAGCTTAAATGCCATATTGAAATGAAAAGGAGATTCTTATGAAAACATGTGCTGCTCTGCTGCTGTCTTTTGGAGTATCCATAGGAATCTCTGCTCCAAGTTTTGACACTCCAAGAAGTTTTTCACTTTGTTGATTTGGGCAAAATATGAGAACATATTTTGCTTCAAAAGAAAAAGATTTTGTATTGATAAGTCAAACATTTTAGCCAGTGGGATCCAGAAATTGATCTTGCTTATAGGGAAGTAACAGTTGCTCTTCTATATATCATATTAGCAAGAACATAAAGAGCATTTGAAAGTTTTGATACTCCATATTTATATTTGACATTCACCAGTGAAGCTTTAGTTAGGTAAATATTAGATAGCGACAAGAATTATTTTACAGATAGGATGAGGTAATGATTTTTCCTTAGTCATCTATGCAGATTCAATGGAGAATGTTGATAAAAAAGTTGATGAGCAACTGGGAGATGATAGTAATGTAAGCAAAGAAATTGTCACCTTTGGTTCTTTTTTGTCCTTATTTATTTTCTACTTTCATTTTCTTGTTCTATAATGTGATATCATTATTCAATATCATGAGATTTTTTGAGACAATGATATAATTTTCATAGTGAACTTTCACTGTTTTTTTATGAGATTATTGGGCTTTCATTTTAAATTGCATTAAAATTGCCTTCTGTAATGTCTGCTTGGTCAGTTTCTAATTCTCTAGCCTGCCTGGTAGAGTAATCCTGATTAATAGTAACATTTGCATACCTATCTTCTTTTGGCCAAATAGGTATTGCTTTCATTTGTAACATTTACTATTTGGTTAAAAGAAGAAGATAGGTATGAGAGAAGGTAACACCGTAACACCAACCCATTCATGTGATACCCGTGTCATGAAGCCTTAGCAATTCCTCCCGCAGACACTCCCATGTACACAGTCACACATGTCATGAAGCCACAAACTTAATGCATGAGAGAAGGTACACCAACCCATTCATGTGATACTCCTCATGCCAACAGAGCCTGGCATCAAGTTATTAACGCTGCAAATATATAAATTCTCTCCCTCAAAGCATTCAATACAGAGTAGAATTGCAGTTAACATTAATAAGTAGCAACTTGAAACTCTAATATTGAGAGATATGGAAAGCCTCCAAAAGAATAGTGTTGGGTTCTTTCAGATGCCTTTACACTATCCAAGATATACACAGAAAGATTACCAGCACATGCCTGAGTGGAAGCTTGATCGGCTCCTCAAGGAATATGGGTTGCCTACACATGGTGATTTGACCTACAAAAGAGAGTTTGCCATGGGTGCTTTTCTTTGGTCCAAGTCTTGAGCCTTGTCACATAATGCAATAAGGTGTTTAAATGCTTATATATAAACAAGAATTTGATGTACTTTATGAATACTACTTTATTCAGCTGGTGTATATTATTACTTGTGAGTTTTAAATTGGACTAAGTTCAATAAATATTTTCTCACTACTCTACATGCACATAGATCATTTTCAATAAATATTATTTCGACATCATGAAGTGCAGAGAGTTTATCCATGTAATCCAAGACAAGCATGAAGTACAGAAAGTTTATCCATCTAATCTAAGAGAAGCATGATCTAAAAAACGAAATTTTTTATGGGAACTTTATGTATTTTTTTTTGTTAATTATTGTTAAGAAAATAATAAAATAATAAAGAATGCAAAAGTGATTAACTTTCTTTTTTGATAATTAGGATTATTGTACCCAAAAAAATCTTATTAATAAACAATTTTTATAATCATATACAACTAACATCAATTAGTTAGCATATAATTCAACCAGCTATTAAGTAATGTAATTAGATTAATAAAATTTATAATTATAAATACTATTAAAAATATTAAACAATCCAGCATCGATATGATTTTGCAGGTTGAGGTTAGTTATATAAAAATATTAAATTGTTACTATAAGTAATTAAATTATTTAACTTTAAGATTCTAATTTAAGTAACTCTGTTGGCATTGCTTTTAATCATAAATTCATCATGGTCGTATTTATTATCCCCGCACTTCAATAAATAAATAAATAAACCTTAGAATCAACACTCATCTTAATTATTTAACTAACCGATCTCATTAATTTTAAAAAAAAATTCATACTTATTTTTGGATTATTTCTGATTACCTGTAATGAACATATATATATAGCTTTAGAAATTTCATATTTCATATTTAATCCCCAAGGAGCTGGTTAGGAGCAGTAACCAAACTGAAGAAAGAATATGAAATAAATACAATAATATGAACTTCTAATGGGGGAACCAAAAAAACCCTCTGAGCAGATTTTCCTTAATCTTTCCAATATATATAATTCTCAGCCAGGAATTTACAGCTACCACAAAAGTATAAACAATCAAATAAACCAAATATACACAAGTATAAATACAATAAATAAGGAATTTCCAATATATACACCATGTAAAGCTTTTCAGGGACCTTGAATGCTTGATTTTCATCCCGCAAGTGATGTCAGAAATTCCATCACCTGCAGATACAATACAACATTGGTTAAATTATGACATCAAAAAGCAATATCAATATAAACAATCAAAAAGTAAACTAAACTTAGATTCTTAAAATAAAAAAAGTAAGGCCAGGGAGTGCTTTATTTTCTTAAATGGACTAGTTCATCTAATTAGATTCAGATTCAGTTCAAAAAATAAGAAAACATACAACTTACAAATTAATTAAAATCAAGAGAATTACCTGAAGCAGCCTTAACCAGTTATCTGCAGCCTGCAAGAGAGAATTTGATAGTTGACTCTCACTAACTCCATTTTGCATCCAAATAGATCCCTTTAACTTATAAGAAGCCATTGCGAAAGTTCGTAAGGAAATCTTTGGTACACCATCCATGTCATTTGGATAAACCAAAATTGGAGCCCGAGTACCTCCATTTCCTGCAAAATGTAATTAAAAACAGTTCAAGAAATAATGAATATTGCTCATAAAGTGTAATCATCTTCACATTTTTGCAATAAACCATTGCTTATACATTAGAAACCGAGATAAAATCAATCAAATTGGGCCTGAGTTGGGCCTAGGCAAAATTTTGCATATTAGACTCATTTTGCTCCTAATTTTTCATAGATTTGATTTAGCTAGGTCTCATCATCATATGATGAACCTAACAAAACCAAATCAATTATGTTTGGCAACAGTGCCATCTGAATTGAGCTTTAATTTGAAGAGCCACTTGCAGCTAATAGGTTTTTTGTCAGGAGGAAGAGGGGTAATGGACCAGGTGTTATTTACTTCCATAGCTGTAAGTTCATCTTGTATTGCCTGCTTCCAGTGAGGAAATTTGATGGCTTGCTTATAAGTTTGGGGTTCATAATTGGCTGAAACTTGACAGAGGTAATGTGTATGACTTTTGGATAAATTGGAATAGCTGATGGAGTTTTGAATAGGATAGAGGGGACTGTTATTGGTGGTCACATTGTAGCAGTGATAATCAGAGAGGTAACCAGGAGGATTGAAACTCTGCTGGACCTTCTTGGGTGGTGTTGTTCAGGGGGAGTTGCAGGAGGTATCATGTGTTGTTGTTCTGCAATGTTTTGATTGATGATGGTAGGTGTAGGATCAGGATCATCATAAGATTCGGTGTGTATCAGATTGGGTGTGATGTAATTGTGAAAAACATCAGGAGTAGGAGCGGAGGAGTTGCTGGTCTGGAATTTTCATTGATTAACGTTAGAAGAGATAAAAGATTGAATCTGAATGTAGGTATGTAAAGCACGTTATGAAGGAAAATATCATCATTAATCTTGATACTTCCAATACCTTCTACCTTAACTTTTGTGGAGTTTGGCAAAAGGACATGAGAATCATGTATGTGATGGAAGTATTTGATGAAGGATTGATGTTCATCCAATCTTCCATGCATGGACTGAAAGTAATAAATTTTTAAAAATGCGCTACAGTGGTCGTTTAGCCCATTAATTAGTAATTTATAAGATTCTATCTGCCCTGCTGCTGCTTGGGAGAACAGCGATTTTATTTTTGGAATGCAGATTTGATACTTGATCTTTTGAGCGTTTGACCCTGGTACCTTTACAAAGTCAACTCTAATAAACTCCCTCAGCAACTTAGCATTAAAAAGTTACTTGTCTGTCGCTAAGATGTAATTAATCCTCATTTCAAAATAAAAAACACGGAATTAATATTTTAAATACTGTTTTTTCAAATAAAAATGACGAATGTTTGTAAAAAGGAATTTAGATGAATTTGTAGAGTTATGAGTGAATAAAACAAATGAAATTTATTAAATTGCCGGTGGGCATTGAATCGAGTCATGTGAGAGGTTTTTTTTTTTTTTTTTTTCTTTCAATTTTTAATTTTTAACAACTAACACATTCCTCGATCAATTGAACTAAATCGTTTTGGTGTTTGAGTTTACTTACATGGTTGTTATATGTCAAACTAAATCGTTTCGGGCTGAATTTTTTAAATTGTTATTTCAATTTATGTTTATTATATATTATTTTAAATTTATAAAACATAAAATTTGCTGTAAAAAACTTAAAGTTTAGACTTGTGATTATAAATAATTACTCTTTAATCCAGTAGATTGGAGAAATTTGTGACAGGAACAAAATATATACAAATAAATACAATTAATATATTTTTTTGATAAATAATTAATCTAATTTAACTTGATTAAATCATAATTGACAATTAAAAAATCACCTCTATATATTGAATATGGATAACTATTTTATGTGATAGAATTTTTAAGGTTTTTTTTAAAGACAATAATAATAATAATAATAATATAATAATAATAATAATAATAATATAATTTCATAATCATACCGTTGACGGTTTTTCTAATTGAATGAATATGCTGGTTTGTTTGCAAACAATTGTCTTTGTTTAAATAAAAAAAAAATGTATTAGTAATTATCTACATACATCACATGGAAGAGAGGATGTAAATAATTAGTATTTGGGACTATTAAGAGAAGAAGTTATATAAGTTTTAAAATATAGATGTCTAACCTTAAACTTATTATAAAAAAATCAACATCGATAAGAAATTATGTAAAAGGTCTTTTTCATGATTATTTAATATTGTTTTATAATAATAATTATGTGTTGAGATATTTTAAGATATGGTTTAAAAATTTTAGGAGTTAAAGAACTCTTAAATAGTTTGTGGGTGGTTGAGAAATTCTAGGAGTTAAGAAACTTTTAAAAGGTTTGTAGGTGGTTCTAAGGATTTTTTTTTGTCAAAGGTTCATATTGACCCTGAAGGAAAGATATTTAAGATTTCTTTTGAAACTTAAGCCCCATAAAGATGGAAGCTTATTCTTTTTCTTCTTCTTCTTCTTCTTCTTTTTTTTTCCCCAGAGAAGCTTGGAGATAGTTCTTCTCCTCTTTCTTGTTCTTTCTCGACTTTGAGGTAATAAAAGTTAAAACTTTGTTTATGTTGGATTGTATGAACTGTGTGTTGTTTGGTTGTCATCAAATTATGATTGTATTGATTAAATTTGGATTGAATGGTCGAAGGGTTGAATTTTGGTATTTTGAGCTATGAAGTTGAATATTGGATGAATAATCTTAATTGTTGTTACATGTTGCTATTCTAGTGCAAAATGACTTGTTGTATATATATATAAGTGATGTCTTGTATTGCATGCTGGTGATTTTTTTATTTTCACGTGATTTGAACCAAATTCATAATTTGTTAAGTGTAGAACTCGTTATCACGTCGGATGTGCCTTGATGACGTTGAGCATGACTCAAATTAAGAGTCTTTATCTTACTCATGTAGGACATATGATTGGTGACGTTAGGCATAAGGAGAGAGAATACCCTCTAACTTGGTCACGTTGAACGTGAGGTGACAGAATTGTCTATACTTGAATTGGTGTTGGATGTTAAAGAAGTAGTGCTAAGTGTGAGGAGAAAGACTCATCTCTGTCTGGAATGGGGTCGAATGTGGGACTTTGTCACACTAGACAAGATGATCTAGGGGTCACTACCTCATCCACGTCAGACACGGTTTGAATGACGTTGGACATGAACGAAATAGAAAGTTCCTTACATCAATGGTGCCAGATATAAGTTGGATAGTGTCAAACATGGATTGTCTTATATTAACTTGTTATTTTCATGGTTACTTGGTGAACATGGATATGTTAAATAAATCTATTATATGTTGTATGTTGGTAATATGATTGGGTCTATGTATATTGATATGAAATAATATATGTAGATGATTGTATGGTTGAATTGTTGACGTGCATTTATGTATTGTAAGTTGATTAATATTGTTAAATTTATATTCATTGACTTGAAAATAATACATATAGATAATGTTGTTAAAACGTTGATGATGAGAGTGCTTTAAATATTTAGACATGTATATTATTTGACTTAAAACTATTATATAAGATAATCATTTGTGTTCATTACATAAAAAAGTAAATATATTCTAATTTACATGTATATAAAAATAAAGGTTTATAAACATTATTTATATCGTAATTTATATATTAAAAATATCCAATTATAATAAGTTTAAATAATATACAAATACTTATTTCTACCCGATACTCAAATTAAATTATCAGTAATAAAAAAAAAAATGATACATTAATGAGTGGAATTAAAATACTAATAAAGTGAAGCTCAGTTGGCGACGCATAGAAGCAAAGTAATGGAGATGGAGTAGAGTTGAATAAAGAAATTGGTGGCAAATGGCAATGGCAGAGTAGGAAACTGCATTTACTCTGGTGTCGGTGCTTTCTGTTAAACAAATCTTCCACTGCTGCAGTGATCATTTTCTTCTGAAACATGAAAGCTTCTGTCACCAATGCCGATTTCCCCAGAACCCCTCTCTTCCTCAAGATCGTCTTCTTCCTATTCGTCGCCCTCACCTTCTTCTTCCTCGGCAACCACTTCTCCGACGGCTCCCACCAGCTCATCTTCTTCTCCGCCACCGCCGCCACCTCCGCCACCGTCACCATATCCCCCAACTTCAACCAATTCTTCAACGTCTCCGCCCTAATCGACCCCCTTCCCACTCCCACCCAAACCCCCGAACCTCCCCCCGCACCGGAGCTTCGGGACGCAATCAAGAGGTTCGGGATCCTCAACGACAACGGCACCATGTCCGACGACTTCGAGGTCGGCCACTTCGACGACGACGACGACGGCGACGGCGTAACGGAGGAGCGGGGGAACGACACCGCCTCCGCTCCCAAGAAACTCGCCGTGGCCAAGTTCGCCATGTGTCCGCGCAGCATGAGCGAGCTTATACCGTGTTTGGATAATGCCGACGCGATTCGGAGGCTTAAGTCCACTGAGAGAGGGGAAAAGTTGGAGAGGCATTGTCCCGAAGAGGGGAAGAGGTTCAATTGCCTGATTCCGCCGCCTAAAGGGTACCGTTCCCCCATTCCGTGGCCTCGAAGCCGCGATGAGGTACCGATTATGATCACTTAAGATTAAATACTACTACTACTACTAGTGGCTTATTATTGTTTATTAATGATCATGGATTTTTTTTTTTAGTTTAATTAATGTCTTTAATTGTCATGATTTGTCTTTTATTACTTTTGCATGTGGAATAATAGGAAATAATGGATGCTAATTAAATTTCTAGACTTTCGCTGTAATCTAATTAAATTATTACTTTATGTGTATAGTTGTGCTTGCATTTAATAACATTTGACCTACCAACATGGTTTGATATGGTTTAAGATAACCGTATCTCTTGAACATGAGAGAAGGGTTCGAATCGTGTGCATGGGAGAATATTTGTTGATAGACGAGAGATGCCAGTCACTTAAGTGGATTTTTATACCTCGAGAGATTAGGGATTAGTCTCATCTTAGTCATTAATATGATGTGGTGATAAAGTGAATTCTTACCAGATGTCTGTATAAAAATATATTTTTTAGATTTAACTCTTATTTTATGGGTTCTTTTGAGATTTTTTTTGAAAAAGGAAATGATTATTTTCTAAATAAAGAGTGGTTTTCAGACATGCACTTGTATAAGTAACAATTTTGTGACTAGATTTTAGAATTTACTTGATTTTCTGTTTTGGTGGGCTTCGGGTGCTTGTACATTGGTTTCTTAATGTAATGTTTATGTTTTTCTCATGTAGGTTTGGTACAGTAATGTTCCTCACAGTCGTCTTGTTGAAGATAAAGGAGGTCAAAACTGGATTTCCAGAGGCAAGGATAAGTTTAGGTTTCCAGGCGGTGGTACGCAATTTATACATGGAGCAGATCAATACTTGGACCATATTTCTGAGGTTATTAAATATTATATGCTCTGTTTTTCATTTTAAGGACAGTGTAGGTGCATATTCTTTTATGATTCTGATAATTTTAAGTCATGGTTTTGTAGATGGTTCCTGATATAAAATTTGGGCAGAATATACGAGTTGCTCTTGATGTTGGCTGTGGTGTAGCTAGTTTTGGTGCTTACTTATTGTCAAGAAATGTCATAACCATGTCTGTTGCTCCCAAGGATGTTCATGAGAATCAGATCCAGTTTGCTCTCGAGCGTGGTGTGCCAGCAATGATTGCTGCATTTGCAACCAGACGATTATTATATCCAAGTCAAGGTTTTGACTTGATACATTGTTCGCGCTGTAGAATTAATTGGACTCGAGATGGTATGATCTCTAACATCTAATTGACCAGTGAGAGTGCAAGTTGTATTTACTATTTACTTACCACATTTTTTCATACTGTCATGTAAATGTTTTCATCTGACTTTCAGGTTCTTAAAACCTCCCTCTCACTTCCATTTTTCCAGTTGTTTTTTGAGCTTATATTTTTTATGATATGAATAACTGTATTTATACCATTATATGTTGTGTTGTGACTTATAAATCTTCATATTTTTCTTCCTGAAGATAAATAATAATGACTACAAAGTTCCTTTAGTCCATTATTGGAATCTTTCTTCTTATTTCCTGATTCGTCCCCATGAGATTTTTATTGGGAAAACTAGTAGCTACTTACTGTGGAGATTTGATATCAATTTACCGTTGGCAAAAACAAAATGGAGACCAATTTCAATTTGCTCCTCCAATCTCTATGTCGGTTCACTTTGAATTTTTTCTAACACCTTTTTTTACTTGTTGTGAAGATGGTATTTTACTACTTGAAGTTAATAGGATGCTAAGGGCTGGAGGGTACTTTGTCTGGGCCGCCCAGCCAGTTTATAAACATGAAGAAGTTTTAGAAGAACAATGGGAAGGTATTTCCATTTATAAAATGAATTTATTGAAGCTTTTCAGCTGTATAGAGTAGAGTTATTGTATTTATGGATTTCTTAGTTTAGTACCTTTGTATTAATATTGGGATTTTCTGACATGATGTACATGTACCTACCAAATTGTTTGTTAATTGCAACCATGTTTCGTCAGTTTGCCAAGATGACAAACAGAATTAACCTGTAAATCTTTAAATGGCCATACCTTTGACTGAGATGCTCTCTCAATTCATAACTCCTAGTCCTAACAAAAGTTGAAGGTTTCTATATAACTCACTTATTATAATCTTTCTTGTGTGCTTTGAGCCTATGACTTAATAGAAGAATAAGGAGAAGCATCTTAATATGTGGTGGTATCAAATACCTGCTATTTGTATTGTATGTACTTGAATATTTAGTAATTTACTAGGTTTGATCAACTATGCTTTCCCAAAAATGTGGTCTGCATCTATGGTGAGTGTAACATTTGGTTTTGTTATCTTCAGAGATGCTTAATCTTACTACTCGTCTGTGCTGGAAGTTTGTGAAAAAAGATGGGTATGTTGCAATATGGCAGAAACCTACCGACAATAGCTGCTATCTAAACCGTGAGGCAGGAACTCAACCTCCACTGTGTGACCAAAGTGATGACCCCGACAATGTTTGGTATTGTTTTCTTGCCTTATCTACAGATGATTATATGATATTCTTGATCTTATGATTCTTATCCAATTATATGATTAATGCCATGACAACATGTAAATTTACTATCATCAACTTATGCGATATCATAGAGCTTCCATTAGGAACTACTGTCTTTTTTTGGGGGGGTCAAAGGGAAAAACGTGAAATTTCATTTAAAGTTAAACTACATATAAAAAAGACTATACACTAAAAAGAACTAGAAGTCCGTGAACTACTGTCTTTTTATATAAATATTTTTTAATATTCAATATATAGGTAAATTACTGAAGCATGCACCAAAATTATGGGCAAGTTCTTGCAAATAATCTTGCTGAATAAAACAGGAAAAAAATGAAACCAAAAGAGAAAGAAATGGAAACTAAACTAATGGGATTTAAGGATGTGGAATACATCTAACCTAACTATACTTTTTTTGTGTAGGGTTTTTACAATCTCATATAGTCTGTGATTCTTCATAAATACCCTAAACCCTGTGCCAGTTCATAAGAAACCTAATGATAAGTTGTATCATTTTTTATAATTGAACAATTTGGGTCAAGCTTCATTTGCTTTATCATTAAACCCTAAACCCTAAACCTAATACCACACACCAGAATGTTTTATCAAGCCAACTATTGGTGATTTCATCATTTGCTTGATTAATTTAGGTATGTTAATCTAAAAGCATGCATCTCTCAATTGCCTGAGGATGGATATGGAGCAAATGTTGCCAGATGGCCTGCACGTTTGCATACTCCACCTGAAAGGCTTCAAAGCATAAAATTTGATGCTTTCATATCCAGAAAGGAGCTTTTTAAGGCTGAATCAAAATATTGGGATGAGATAATAGCCAGCTATGTACGTGCTTTACATTGGAAGAAGATGAAATTAAGAAATGTTATGGACATGAGAGCTGGTTTTGGAGGGTATTGTCTTTATCCTATTTCCTTTTTTGTTATAATATGAATTTTTTTATTAGTGTCTTCAATATATGTGTGCTTTGCAGATTTGCAGCTGCATTGATTGATCAGAACCTTGACAGCTGGGTTATGAATGTTGTTCCTGTTAGTGGTTCTAACACCTTGCCTGTTATATATGACCGTGGGCTGATTGGAGTTATGCATGACTGGTATTTTATTAAACACATACTAAATAACTTGTGGCAATATTTTGTGAACTTGTCAGAATGTTGTAATATTTATCTATTTATGATTTGTAATTCAGGTGTGAACCATTTGACACCTACCCAAGAACCTATGATTTTCTGCATGCTGCAAACCTGCTTTCTGTTGAGAAGAAAAGGTACCTTTTCTCCACTTGTCAACTCTTCTATATTTTTCTGGGTTACTTCTGCGTTGTGTTGATAAAAATGAAAGCTAGTATTGTATTGAGAATATGTCAGGTTGACCTGTGAGATGGCTTTACAGATCTTTACCTCCTTTTCTGTTCTTTCATTTGTTTTTAATCGGTTTTCCATAGGATTAGGAAGCATACATCACTATTCTCAAGCAAAGTTAAATGGTTTGGATATCAGATCTGTTACTCATTCTTCCTTGCGATGATCTACTAAAATAATCATATACTAATGTCATTAAATTCAACACTTATTCCTTAGTAATCTACACCTAAATACTTGTCCATCTAGAAATAAGTTATATTTTCATGCTTTATTGTTCATTCGCAGCATGTATTATGACTTCATCAATGCTTATTGCAAATAAGAAACTTGAACAGGTTTACCGTGTTTTTGGTTTTACATGTTGTGACTTGTGGCGTTTCTTTGCTATTGTTGCGTTTGTCTCTTATCAGATGCAACGTGTCATCAATTATGCTGGAGATGGATCGGATTCTAAGACCTGGTGGACGGGCATACATCCGTGATACTCTTGGCATCATGGATGAGCTTGTAGAGATTGGCAAGGCTATAGGTTGGCAAATGACATTGCGAGATACAGCTGAGGGTCCTCATGCAAGTTATAGGGTCTTGGTTTGTGATAAGCGCCTACTACGCGGTTGATCTTGTTTTATAAGTAGCAGCAGAATAGGGTCTCACATCCTGGAAGATGCAATGCAACTGTAAATATCACTTCCTTATAAGCAGCAGCGTTGGAAGCTGGAAGCATTTGTCTGTTCATTCTTGGCATCAGATTGTGAGAGCTGGTTTGGTCTAGTGTGCATGCGTCATTTAACTTGTTTATAAAATTTAATTTATTTGTATATGACAAAGGTTTTAGGTCGAACATCTATTATATTTTTCACTTATGTTTAGTCCCAACATTACGATTTCTATATAGTAACACTTAAAATTTTGCATTCTTCATATGTGTTTCTTAAATGGGTTTTCTCTGGATCTTATATTATCCAAATGGCTATGCACTCTGTTTCTCACCGTCCGTCTCTCGCGGACGGGGATTTCTCCACATCACTCCTAGATCCGTTGAGTGTATTTTAGCTAATGGAGACTTTTGCTATAAATTAACATTTAACAGATTAGCGTTGGTTACAACTTGCAACAAACTGTATTAACTAGCATGTACTCTGTTTTTCACCATCCTTTCACGGACGAGATTAACATTTGCAAAATCAAGCGATAGGAATTTTAACATTTTGAAATGTTAACAGCATATATTGTGTCATTATAACATATACTTGCATTATTTTAACAATTTTGAGAATATAATTCGCTAGTAATAATAGTTTTTAGTACTCCCTCTAGACTTATATATAAGAAAAAAAAAAGATTAATTTCACCTTGATTAAGAAAGTTAATTAAAAATATTTAATCTTCACAATTTCATACAATATATACACTATATTTACTAAAATATTCTTAACCACACCTATAGTAGATAATGCTCTAATTTATTGTCTTACGGGGAATTTTAGTTTAACGGCATTAAATAACGTTGAGTTGATTGGAATTTATTTATATTTTAATCTAAAAAATTTAAGTACTTTTTGTTTATGTATAAGCATAGAGGAAATAATAAATATTGTCACTATAAAGTGTATCATTATAAGACAAATTTTTTGTAGTATGAGCATGATTAGTCCCTCTCCTTGAGATACTTGTGGTAGGACAATTTTTTTTTGACAGTGAGTAGAAGGATAAAAAATTTCAATTACACAAGTGTGCAAAAAAATTTTACTTTAGAAATTTAAATGAGAAAATAGATAATGCACTTACATTGTTATTTAATCATAAATCATCATTTATGATAAGTTGTTGACTTTTTTAATAAATAAGTAAAATTTTATAGTAACAAATTCCAGCATGACCATTAAACTCAATTTGAATTCTAAAAACATTGTTTGGATTCATCATTCTGGAAATTAAATTTTGAAAGTACAAAGAGTTTGCATACTTTTGAAATTTAATTTCTAGATGTTTTATCAGATGTCTTCTAAAGGTTCTATTTTCAAACTCTGGTGTAATTCTAATAGATAAAAAATAATAATATCTAGATGTTAAAACAGTTATAGAAAGAGTTTCATTTTTCATACTTCCTAAATTTAATTTAATGAATGATGACTCCAATTGTACATACGATGACATTATTGTTGGAATAAAATTTGGCCGAAAAGGAGACGAGATGATGCAGTTAGGGAAAATGGGTGCAAAAGGTAGAGTTGGGGTATAGGTTGAAACATACAATGTGTTTAGCTTGCAAATTATGTAGGTCTTGGGCCCAATAAAATGAGGCCTATACAAAATGTGTGTATATTTTTTGGTGATCTATGAAACCTGAGGATTTAGTAACTTTAGTTTGCGGGTTATTAAGTTGAACCGTTGGCTGTTGTTTTTTCAGAAAGGTAAAATTATTTTTAATTAGTTTATTTTATTACGATTTTTAATATTCAGTTGATGTGTTAGAGGTTTTTGGTATAATAAATGATAATTTCATTTTCTACTTTTATTTTTCATTTTAATTATTTAAATTTCTTATTAACTATTTAGTGTGTACTTTATTAATATATTTACCACTTTATTAAATTCTATCAATTTTTAATAAGTAACAACTCACAAAATAAACAAAAATTATTAATATTTTCTACTTTTTTTTGCTTTATTTTTGGTAACATGAGTCTTTTTTTTATTGAATCAGCCCAACCAGTTCAAAATGGGCCAATTCTGTTAAATTGAATAAACTATAACCGACTTGGCCTTGAAAGTTGAAACTATATCTCTCTCTCACACTTGAGTACTTCACGGGAGTGGTCGTGTCCGGTTCTGCCGAGGCTGAGTATATTACGGTACACTCTATTTCCTGTTGCTTCAACTCTTCTACACCCTAACATTCTCTTTTCATTTTGTTTTTGCTAAAAATTCTCTTTTTATTTAATTATTTTGTTTGCTACGGCTTAATTTTTCTGGGTTTTCTCCATTTGTTTACATATACCAGCAGAGGTGAACGGGTGGTGGTTACTGGTTACGACCATGCTGTTTTTGTTATTACATTTCTTCCCTTTTTATTTATTTATTAAGTTTGTTGGTTAATTTTTCAAAAATTGATACTTGACGTGCCTTTCCTCGAGTAACGATTCTCGTTTCCAAAGTTTGAGGCACTGAATTTGTGTTGGTATTGTTTGGTTTGGATGAGTAATGATTGTAGCTTTTTGTGTTTGAAACACTATTTTGTTTTTATATTGTTTAGGTGTATAGTTGGTGGTGGTGGATGGTTTTAGAGATGGATATGAGGCATTTTAGAAGTGAATTCTTGCCCAAAACGCTCAACCCTTCTTCAACTTACCTCCAATTTTCTCCTCTTAGACCATTCCACAAAACCCCAAACCTAAAATTCCATTCACAGAAACGCTTTGCAGTTGTGTCATTCTCCCAAAACCCTAAACCAATTAGTGAGTTGTCAGTTTTGAGGCGGAATCCAGCATGCTCAAGGGATCTCAGGTCTTATGCTGGTCGTAGCAAGAAGTCTGGTGGTGAAGGCTCCTCTTCTGGTCGAATTGAAGGCTATGCTGAGTTCCGAAGACGGTTGAAGCGCAATTCAAGGGCAAGAAGCAGGAAATATGCTGAGTCTCTATTCTACCGGCTGAAAAACCCGAGGGGAGGTGGGAATTATCCCAATAACTTCACTGAGGATGAGCTCCAACAAATTGGTCTTGGGTATGATCGAATGGTTCGGTTCATGGAGAAGGATGACCCAAATTTACGTCATCCATATGATTGGTACAAGTATGGACAATATGGACCTTACTCTTGGCGTGGAGTTGTTGTTGGCGACCCAGTTCGTGGTCGGTTCTCGGATGAGTGTGTGACATTAATCAGTGAAGTGAAGGACCATGAGGAGTGGGAGAAGATTGAACAAGCTGAAATGGCTGAAGAATATGCGGAGAAAGTGAAGCGGTTGGATCAAAGTAAATTAAGGTATTTTTGGGTATTCGTAAGGCACCCAAGGTGGAGAATTTCAGAGCATCCTTGGCAGCAATGGACATTAGTTTGCGAAGTAGTACTTGAAGCGGGTAAGCAGAGATTAGATAAGTGGAATTTGATGGGTAGACTTGGGAGCAAGGCTAGGTCATCGATAGGGCAATGTGCTGCATGGATGAGACCCGATCTTGTATATGTGAAGAAGCCAGTGTTCCAGTGTAGGTTTGAGCCACAGGATAACTTTTTCAATCCAATAATTCCATTACTTGATCCTAAAACAGAGCAGGATTATCTTTTTGAGTTACAGAATGATGATGGTAGTGTTGAGTTGTGTACTTATTTTGGTGGATTGTGCAAGATTGCGAAGGTGAATCAAAAGGCATTTGTTGATGATGTGGTGAATGCATATCAGAAATTGAGCGATGAGAAAAAGTCAAAATGTTTGGAGTTTCTGTTGACCAATCATCCGGTGGAATTGTTACATCCATATACTAAAGAGTGGAAGGCTAAGTTGGAAGAGATGGAGCTGGGTTGTGATGCTCCTGATGAAGAAGATGATGCTATTGTTGATGATCCTGAAGAAACCGAGATTCTTGATTGGATTGAGGATGAAGGTAGTGATGATGAAGCTAACATTACTAATGAGGAGGAGGACGACGAAGAGGAGCTGATTGACGATGATGATGTTGATGGCAATGAAGACCAAGATCTAGTCATGGACATGGAAGAAAGCGAAGACGGGAAATATGATGGCAATGAAGACCAAGATCTAGTCATGGATATGGAAGAAAGCGAAGATGGGAAATATCAAGCCATGGATGAGGATACACTTACAGAAGAGGATGAGAAGGACTGGAACTGGAATGAGGAGTTTCAAAAAGCATTAAGTAGTGGAGAAGCAATGGAAAATCTGGCTAGGAAGACTCTTGAGTTCAATAAGAAGTTGAGTAGGACGCAAATGATGAACAAAGTAGAGGAAGAGACAGTGCCCTCACTAGATGGAGATGAAACTTCATTGAGAGGCAAGCGACCAAAGGTTGGTCAAGAAGAGTGGAAGTATATTGGGGTTGGTCCGTGGAGAAAAAGGATTAAGAAGAGCAAAATTCCACCAGAGCTATTTTTGCGGTCAGTTGTTAGACCATTCACTTACAGAAATCTTGTTAAAGAGATCGTTTTGACTAGGCATGCAATTTTGGATGGTGAAATTGGCAGGGGAGTTGAGAAAAAAGAGTAGACTGAAATTTATAATTTTGGAGTGATTTGACCATGCTTCAGCATTATTCAATTCCCTTCATGTTGTTGAAGTTCAGAGAATAGGGTAGATTGAAATATTTTTAGCAACTTTTCTTTATGCTTACCTAGTTGCTGAAAAGAATGAAGTATACATATAACAGTATACAACATCAATTTTGGATTACTTGAGAAACTATTTCTATTTATTTACAGTTGTGTTTCTTGTGTGAACCACTCCCCTTTACTGTTACCGCTTAATTTTTTGTTGTTGTTTACTGCATTGAATTTGAAAACTATCCTAACTTTTATTTAAAAAAATTTTCTGCAGTTGTAACTAGCTTCTGTATTATTATTATTATTATTATTATTATTATTATTATTATTATTATTATTATTATTATTATTATTATTTATTATTATTTATTTTGACTTTATTATTTTTTATTCTTTCATTTCCTAACTTTTGCATAGAATGTATCTTATCGTGATTTTGATTTTTTTACCCTATTTTTTCCTAGAACGCCCCTTGCAGTTTTTTTGTCCAAG